TTAAGAAGAGGCTGGATGCCTACCTGGCTGGACTCATTTGAGTCCCGTTTCTCTTTTTGGGGTTTTTTGTTGTTCTCCCGCCCTGGCAGGGGGTCGGGCTAGAAGATCTACTAGGTCCCTTCCGACCCTTAATCTATGAATATATGAATACCTGCATAGCCATATTTCCCAAAAATAAACATAGCCGTTGATATTCAACACTGGATAAAGTCTGCCAGTACTGCCTTTGAAGGTCTCTGAAATCGTGTATTTGCTGATCATGAAATCCAGATCCAAACCAGATTTCTCATCTACCACGCTATTGTATGAATGTACAACTTGAACAACATTTTGGAAACACCTGAAAGCATTGGAACACTACCATCATTCATTTCTTGGGAAAAATCTCCATGGCAGTTGGAAGGACAGAAGAATGAAAACCAGTGTTACGGCTGAAGCAAACACCAGTAACAGCAAAGGCACGTGTGTATGGCACCAGCTCCATTGGACAGGGCATGTCATAAAGATGCTTTATAACCAGCTTCTAAAATTCACTGATCTAGAGGTAGGCAAAATAAGGAATTCAAGGGCTCCTTAAAGGCAAATCTGAACAAATATTAGATGAACATCCTGCCCCAATACCTGAGAGATTGGAGCATTGAATCTCACAAGTGCCATCATCCCCCATGGCACCATGCTGTATGACAAGGCATTGATCATCTTGAGGAAACTCGTCTCACTGAGACAAATCATAGGTATAGAAGTAGATAGATGAGAGATAAAAATGGAAGAGCTGTAACTCAACATCACCAGGATCTACTTGTTCCTCCCAGAGCAATTCTCCACATCAGCAGTCAGACATGAAGATCTCAGATTGGCCTCCTCACTCATCTATAGACTCACCAATGACATTCCTATTTACTGGAAAACTGTCATCCTCATATTAGGGGACTGCTACTGCCTCATTGATACATTGTGGGGTCTGCAGATAGGTGATATATCTAGAAAGAGATGTGTGGAGTTTGCCTGATCATGATTTCACATAAACACCCAAATGACAGGCTTATTACTAGGTTACAGAAACTATAGTTAGTTAATTATATATATACTGGTCAGGGCAAATTATAGTTTAGGGAAGGGGCTTGTTTATTTGCTTGCTTGTGTGTTTTCCCCTGTCTCAATGGGTAGATAGTAGGCCTGTGCGAGTAGGCAGCTATTCAATCCAGCTGCTTCAGATGCCACGGATACGATCTGGAGTTCCGGACTGGATTTCTGCTTTGATCCAGCCAAAGCAGCTCCAAAGCTTGAGAGCCGCCTTGGAGATCCAGCCATAGGGTATAATGGGGAATCAATGAAATATCTATACCTTTGTTGTTTTTTGTCTGATTTGGATGAAACTTTCAGTAGTAGTAACCTCTGCGGAGAGCATGAAGCCTGCAAAGATTCAGAAGATCAGTGCAAGGATTTGGGGGGAACTGCACCCCAAATTCCTGAAAGCAAAACTCATGTCACATCTATGTGTTATGCCACAGTGGGGTGAAAACTGCAGTGGTGGTAGCCCCTGGTGAGGCCACATCTCCTTGAAACTTGGCAGGCTTTAAGTGTAGGTGTTTGGAGGGAACTGCACCTCAAGCTGCGGACAAGCAATACTCATGACATGGGTGACACTATGTGTGTTAAGGGGCAGCAAGGTGAAACTGCAGGGATGTTGGCCCCTGATGAGGCCACAAAGCCTGCCAGCTGTTGAGGGGATAGGTGGAGGGATTCTGGTTTCTGGGGCCCTGTACCCCTAGCTGCTGACAGACAAAATTCTTGACATGGGTGCTTGTGCAACTGACTGTCTCTGTCTTGGGGCAGTTGATTGTCTGCATTGATTATTTCCTCCCCTTAGTTTCTGGTTTTGTAGGTGTTAATTGATGCTAATTAACTGGCTACATTAGCTAGCTAGTGTGTATTGAGCTGGTCCCTGAGTGAATCATAATTGATTGGTAACTGATAACACAGTAGCTTAGCAGCCAGGCCTGCAGTAGTTCCCCCCATGTCACAGACACAGTTGCACAAGCACCCATGTCACAAGTTTTGCCTGTCAGCAGCCAGAGGTGCAGGGCCCCAGAACCCCAGCACCTATCTCCTTGACAGCTGGCAGGCATTGTGGCTGCAGCAGGGGCCACCATCCCTGCAGCTTTCACCCTGGTGCGCCTTAACACACACAGAGTCACCCATGTCACAGGTTTTGCCTGTCCGCAGCTTGAGGTGCAGTTCCCCCTAAACCCCTACACCAATCTTCTTGAAACTTGGCAGGCTTTGTGGCCAAACCAGGGGCTGCTACCCCTGCAGTTTTCATCCCCCCATGTTGTAACACAGACATGACATGAGTTTTGCTTTCAAGAATTTGGGGTGCAGTTCCCCCTAAATCCCTACACCGACCTTCTTGAAACTTGGCAGGCTTCATGCTCTTTGCAGGGGCTTCAATCTCTGCAAATTTAATCCAAAACAAGACAAAAAACAACCAAGTTATAGATATTTCATTGTTTCCCCATTATATCCTATGGCCGGATCTCCGAAGCTTTTAGTCCATGATTTTTTGTATCCAGGAGGTTGATGAAGTGAAGTTCATAGGCTCATCTCTGAGAAGTGTT